TTGTGAAAGAAACTTGTATTCCTATCTCCTTCAGCAAACCAAGTCATCCCACCTTTTTGCTTCCAATACTGCTCCTCAATATTCAAGTATTTCTTCAATTCAGATTGAGCCTTTTGAAGAACAATCCTATTCTCAATTGTAGGCTTTTCTTCAAACAACATCTCCTTCACCCTAACAATGTCCTCCAAAATAACCAATTGCTTGAAGATATCACCAAATGTTTCCCTACTCCATTTTGAGAGTGCTGCCTTCACCCTCTTGATATTCTGCTTGAACATCAAAAACTGATCCCCTATGAAATCAGCTTCCCAATTCTGCCTCACCACATCCATAAATGTAGCATGTTTTGTCCAAAAGTTCAAGAATCTGAAAGGCTTGACAAAATTGGTTGTCTATACTCCACATGTCATTAGCAATAGTGCATGATCTGATCCAGTTCTGATTAGATCATCAACTTCAATAGTTGGCAACATGTTATGAAGTGGAAAATTCACAAAAATCCTATACAATCTATTGATTATACACTCAGCATTGGATCTCTCATTCCACCATGTGAATGGACTTCCTTTGTACCCTTGCTCAAACAAACCACAAGAGTTTACACAAAATGAAAAATCCTCATATTCAGGAGGGTGTACTGGAAGTCCCCCTATTTTCTCATCTTCATGCAATATCACATTGAAATCCCCTCCTACCAACCATGGTAATTCTATATCACTTGCTAAATAATACAAGTGATCCCACAAATCCAACCTCTCCATTGCTGAACATTTTGCATAAACAAATGTCATCATAATGTGCTGCCCCATGTCATGGTGAAACACTCTCACAGTCACCTTTTGCTCAATATCCTCCACTAATTCCCATTCCACCACTGCATCAAAGAACAACCATATTTGCCCATTAATATTTGTATAAGCAGTCTCCATATTCAACCTCCTTTTATATCTATCAATGAATCCCTTCTTTTAAAAAGGCTCCATCAATGCAACTACACAAAAATTATGCTCCTTATTCATGTTGATCACCCTAGAAAAGGCCCGTTGTGTATTCACAGACCTTATGTTCCATATTAATGTTTTGATCATCATCATTTAGATAGAGAAGCTGCCCTCCTAGGCATTATTCTTGAAGGTTGTGGTGGATATTTACTTTGATTCTTCTTAGTTTTTTTACCTCCTTTAGCACTAACTGTGGGTGATAAATACCCTTCCCTATCCATTTTTTGAAGTTTTCTACAGTTGATTCATCATCTCCTTCATCCTCTATTGGATTTGGTCTCAATAAGTCTTCATCAATTGGTGTCACATTGTGTGTAACTAAATTATGTAAATGTTGTAGAGGAGTCTTAANCCATTTTTTGAAGTTTTCTGCAGTTGATTCATCATCTCCTTCATCCTCTATTGGATTTGGTCTCAATAAGTCTTCATCAATTGGTGTCACATTGTGTGTAACTAAATCATGTAAATGTTGTAGAGGAGTCTTAATTGGAATATTAAGATGTAGTTGCATGGTTTGATCAGTGCCAGATTCCATAGGCACTTCCTCTATTTCCCCAGATGCTCTTGGAACAATTGCCCGCTCATCAGCCTGTTCATACTCCTTGAATTGTAGCTCATGGACATACGCCAGAACACCATCTACATAGGCCAAAATCTCTCCAGTGGCTCTAAGGTTGGGGTTTACTGTAGCTGCCTCATCAGGTGAACCTAGCTTTAGGCCTGGCGTCACCCGCCGAACGTCCGGGGAGCCTGGCTTTAGGCCTGGCGTTGCCAGCCTATCGCCAGGTGATCCTGGCTTTAGGCCTGGCCTCGCCAGCCTATCGCCAGGTGAGCCTGGCTTTAGACCTGGCATTGCCAGCCTATCGCCAGGTGAGCCTGACTTTAGGCCTGGCGTCGCCAGCCTATCACCAGGTGAGCTTGGATTGTTGTCCTTCTTCATCTTGTCTTCTATTGTCTTTATTTTGCCCAGCTGATCATTCTTAACCTCAACTACATTGCTCCTTAAGACCTTTGTAGAGTTTACCTCATCAAGATCCTCCATCTACCCAGCATCTTTAAATGTTTGAGATGGAATCGCATGACAAGATTGGTTTGTAGTCACATTGAGTTGTTTTAGCTCCTCTTTGCTAGTCCCAAACCTTCTATGAACCCAATCGATTGTGAACTAAATCCCAGAAGGAGTAGGACCATCTTTAGACCTGAAGACTGGTTTTTTCCCCACCAAAACCAGTTGGTTGTTCTCGTTTATATCACTTTGTTCCTCTTCTAATACTGCAAATTTATTCCTTGTTTGAACCTTGTTTGTCTGATCTTCTTCGACCTCCATCAGTGCAAAGTTATTGTGTACCTGCTATACACCAGCATTCACTGGCACGATTGCATTGCCAGTTTGCCCTTGTACCTGGGTTTTGTTATTTTTGTTGGTTCCCTGATTATCCCGAACTTCCTTCCACTGTGCACTTACATTCCCGACTACTTTTCCACTCGTGAGAATCATTAAAGGGGTAATGTGATTTTTGGTTTTTCCTTGTTCATCAGCAGCAGAATTCCAGTTGTTCAACTCAGCAAGATCATTCCTTTTCTTGCTGCTTTGATTCTCAATAAGCTCGGGGTGCAAACGCCAACATTCAATTTCATCATGTCCTTGAAGTTTACACTCCTTACAATATTTTGGTAGCATGTCATACTGAATTCTCACCCATTCTGTTCAAACACCACCAGAAGCTTTATCATCAATATCCAGTCGCACCTTTTTAGGTAGTTCGGCCAATAAATCGACAAGAACTTTTACTCTTGCGCAACTCAGCCTAGTTTTGTTTGTAGTTGTTGCATCAAGACACACTGACCTTCCCACAGCTGTAGCCAAAGAAAACAGAGTTTCCTTTACAAAAAAGGTAGGCAGCAGTCCAGGAAAAGAAATCCACGCCATCGCCATTGGAGTTTCTTCACCCGCCTTAAATTTTGCATCGTAGATAAGAGTATGCAATTGGTATTCGTACCCATATTTGGCTTTGATGTAGTACGTACTCTTCGCTGTGAAATCGAGGAAATCTTGCCATAGAGTTAATCTAATTAACACATGACGATCTCTAAGGAATCCGATATTACACTCACCTTTGATACCACATTGAGTTGGAATTATTCGGCGAAGCTCGTGAATCTCCGGAGAACCATATCAAAGCTTGCCAACGATAGCATATTGGAGGCCTTCAATCACGTTCATTCTATCTACTTCTGCCTCTGTGAATCACGTTGTTGTATGTTGTTGTGCAACGCTGGGGGAGGGCAGACCAGCCGGAAAATCTGGCTGGTCGCCGGCCATTGTGGCCATTGAAGCCTAAAGCTCCAGCTTGTCCGCGATGAACAGTGATGAAGTCACTGTTCATGGTACTGTTTGGTACTATTCACTGCTACAGTGACAGCGAAAATTTGAGAGAAAAATTCTAGAGAGAGAATTGTTTTAGGTAGTCTTGGTTCGTAAAGATTCACATCGCCACTCCAACTTTTTATTAAAAATAAGATTTCCCGGGTTGGCTAGGGAGTTGTATTTCAGTAAAGTAAGGAATACAAGAGGGGATATATCCTTAACCTCCAAAATACAACACACGGATAAAAAAGTTATCCTTCAAAAAACTAGGAAGGGGAATTTTGTGCATCTCTCACCCAGTCCAAAATAAAGATCCTAACTAACAAAAAAATTTGCTTTATCCTAGGCATTTGGTATTTGTCTAATTGAAATGGGCCTTTGACAGTTTTTGGAAGCTGCTGGAAAGAGAAATAGTAGGATTCCTATGTTGATGTAGCAACAAGTTTAGCAAGGGAATCCGCAACTTGATTGGCCTCCCTATAGCAATATATAATATTAACATTAGCCTGCTCCAATATATGAGAAGTGTACTCTATAATGTTGTTCATCTTGTAGTTATAAACTCTCTTCTCCTTCAGCATATTAGTCACAATCATGGAGTCTAATTCTAGAGTAAAATCTGTGTATCCATGTTCAATACACCAATTTACTCCAAACCAAGCTGCTTGAGCTTCTACTTAGTTGTTGCTACTGCACTGAGTAGGGATAGAGTAGGCCATAACTATGTCGCCATCATCATTCCTTAGAATCCCACCCATTCCAGCCATGTTATTCGCCTTTAGGAAGCTGTCATTAGTATTTAGCTTGAAAGTGCCTATTCCAGGTTTGTTCCAGAGAACTATGGT